GATTGCTGGTTGCTGTATTGTATTTCACAGTTAAAAATTGGCTTATCCTCTGGTATGCAGTGAAAAAAAATTTTCTGTCTAGATACAAGTGTAAATTTTGTAACTTTTTAGCACTTTCAAAAATCACCATACTATCAAAGGGATGTTCCCACAGGGAGGCCTTCATTTATGTAATGGGCTGACCTCAGCAGCAAAGCTGTAAAGCCCAAAGGGCCCTGTGAAGCTATTAGGGCGCCCCCAAAATCACAAGTGGGACTCTTGGGCAGCATTTTCTTGAGTTTAACTTAGCCTAAAGTTCACTCAGCCACATTTAAAAAATTAAAATGAAAACAATGCATGCTACTACACTGAAAGAATTGCCAGAAATTAATAACCAAATTAGGGTGGTTCCAGCATTGTATATCGTTCAGGTTTAAATTTGTAAAGATTATTGTTAAAGTGACCAGTAATAATTTTCCTTGACCATTGATAATTAGTTTGTCATAAACAAGGATGTACCATAGGATGGAACATTGTTCACTGAGGTTGTGCTGTACATTTTTTTTTAAGGTATTGAGTGTATGAACTGCAATCTTTTAATTGGAGAAGAAATGGCTCTGAAAGTACTCAAAAATGACGCAGCTGAAGAAAAATATAGGCATTTTCTTTTTAATGATGAAGTTAAGGTGAGTATCCAAATTTTGTATCATCAAGTTGAATGGTAACATAAAAATCCAGGTGTTAGCCTTCTTGAAGAGATCCAGTGGTGATATTGTGATCACTAGACCATTCTGACTTATTTCTCATTATAATGTTATAAATTCTTTAATGTTTATTGTTTTACTTAAACTTAAAAAAACTTACTTAGGGTAGGAGACAAGCACCAAGAAAAACATTTTGCTCTGTTCAACGCATTCAACTCTGGAAATTTGGCAAAAAAAACGTCATTTTAAGGTGTTTGAGTCATGTCTTGATCACTACATGGCCAAGAAGAACCGAAACTCTAATAATGTTGTTTTGTAGTCAAGCACTGTGCTAGCTTTTGTCAAGCTACATGCAAAGGAACGCAGCAACTCCCAACATTGTTTGGCCAACAATGTTGGGAGTGCTGTACAAACAGATGCAACAACTCCCAACAATGTTGGTACCTGCAGTGCATTGTGGGAAGGTCACAACCCATAAGACTTTGGAGACCATGTGTAGTGTGCGTGCGTGTCCCTAACAATGTTGGAAGAGCTGTGCAAATGAATCCAACATTGTTGCACCACACCTCAGCATTCACAGAACAAAAGAAATGTGGGGAGTTGTCAGTGTAAAAGTTTGACCTGTTTCAAACTTTGCGCAACAACATGCAACAGGGTGTGCAATCGGACGCAATGTATAACATCCAACAATGTTGGGTGTTGTTGTCCAACACTATTGCGTCCGTCTGCACTGAGTACAGGGCTTAACTGATGCTAACCTGATGACATCACAGAGGTACAAGGGATAGGGGTCCACACCAGCTGTTATGGAGCACTGAGGCTTGACTAGGTTAATGAATTAAGTTATGTATTTATTTTTTATTCTTTTTTTTTTGTCAGCATCATCCTTTAATTAGATGGTGCCCAGGAAGTGACTGCGGTTATCTCGTTAAAGTAGTGGAACCCAAAGCAAAACGAATATGGTGTTCACATTGTTATTCAATATTCTGGTGAGTCTTGTTCTATGCCTCATTTATGCTTAGAAATAACCTCGCAGTGTCATTGGGCTCCTAACAAGTGTTACGGAGACACAGATTTCCTTTCCGTCAAAATCTTTGTGTTCGCTAACGTCTTCACAATCCATTGTTGAGAAAGAGGCTTCATGTTCCACATTTCCAATAAAATAGTTGACCCTTTACTTCTAGAGAACTTTACAGCAAGATTTAGCCTGCGAGCAGTCTCACTTTTGTGCTCTTATTTTTCTAACCGGCTCCACCACCAAAATTGTCCCCGAAATGACACAAGTGAGCACACACTGCTGACCTCGACCGCTACTGTCCTCTGTGATGAGTCTAAAGAGTGACCTTGCAGACTAACGCCATTGCTGGAGTTCCAACTTTGCTTTGATTATTCCTGTCATGAATCTTGCTCCACTTGCATATTTATATAATTTTATCCAATGTACGCTATGTTTTTGCAGTTTCTTGTGCGGAGAGAAATACCACGCTCCTACAGACTGTTATACCATTAAGAAATGGCTTACAAAATGTGAAGACGACTCAGAGACGGCAAATTATATCACAGCTAACACAAAGGATGTAAGTGCTGGCCATCGATTCAACTGTTTCTTCTTACTATTTATTAATTATTTCAAAATTTTATAAGTAAAGAATATCCACTCCCCGCAGTTTACAATAGCTGGTCGAGACGAACATCTCACCAGCAGGACTAGAGAAAAGGAAATAAAATTAAGTTTACAGTCATGTATATTGCAAAGTAAAAAATGCAAATATAAGAAGGCGAGTGTTCGAGAAATTTTCGTTGTTAAGTCCGGTAAATCAATATAATCATTCTCATCTGAAAGTTTTTGGAGTAAAGTGTCGAGGATATTGATTTTGAAGTTATTTTTTGACATGCGACGCATTTGACAAGATAAACTATTCGATATTTTTAAGCCAACCTTGAAAAAGACTTACCGGTACTTTAATTGTCTAATCCTGAACGTTTAACATAGTAATTACCTCTTGTAAATGATCTTGCACTATATGGATGAATGTTAGATTGGGAATTAAATAAATTATAATCGTGTTAGTAGGTGTTTGCGTTAGGCTGCGAGAAATTTCTTCTTTTCTCAGTTTTTTAAAAGGAAAGAAAAGTCCGCCAGCGAGACGAAACAAGTTCGCTGTGAGCGTCGCTGCTGCAAGCTGCGAAGGTCCCAAAATCGGTCTTTTCCTTCCTCTCCCCATTCCCTCCTCGTTTTGTACGGCTAGTTTTCCGCGATCATCCGCGATCACTGATCTGATGAAAAAATAACGTTTGCGCTCGCACATTCTGGTGACGCCCTGCTAAAAGTCTGTTATAGTGTTCCCCGAAAATCATTTTTGTAAATGGCTGTTGTTTTTAAATGCAGTGTCCAAACTGTGGAAGCTGTATCGAGAAGAATGGTGGATGTAATCATATGGTATGTACGATTATTTAATAATCCTTATCTCTAAAAGATTCTATTCATTGGGAACGCAAACAAATACAGCGGAACTCCGTTAATACGGTCACCAATGGGCCAAAAGCCGTAATAACCAGGTGACCGTATTAACGAGGTTTTCTTTACAAGAAAAAAAAAAGTGGCCATAATAACGAGGTGACCGTATTACTGAGGTGGCCGTAAGTCGGGGTTCCACTTTAAAGTCATCTGTGTGTTGTTGACTTTTACATGGGTATTATTCTTTTTTAATTATCATTTTCAATTTTCGCATTTCTCTCACTGATTTTTTTGTTTCGTTTTAATTTTTCAGCAATGTATAAAGTGCAAACACGGTATGTTGAACATTTTAAGTTTAAAATGCATTGCCGAGTAGTCAAGACTTAAATTGCTTTAAATCTTGTGGTGTAACAAAAATATCAAGAAAACTTCTTCTTGGGAAATAATGTTTCAGATTTTTGCTGGATGTGTTGTGGAGACTGGAGAAGTCATGGATCAGAGTATTACGAATGTAGTCGATATAAATCCAATCCAAATATTGTTAACGAGTCTGCTGGAATTCAAGCAAGAGAGGCGCTCAAGAAATATCTCTTCTATTTTGAAAGGGTATGTGGTGGCAAGTGTTTCTAGTTTTACCACAGTGCCTTCCCTTTCAAAGAAAAAAGGGAATAAGGCCCGGTTCAGAAGCCGAACTTTTCATGAGCCGAACCTAATTCGAATTAAGGCCGACCCAAATTGTTTAGACTGTCTGAATTGATTCAGACGCCGATCTTAATTCCAGCCGAACTAAATTCAAAGGGAGAAAAATGCTCATTTCGGTCAAACTGCTTACAAAATACGTTATAATAATTTATGCATTAGGTTCGGTACATGAAAAGTTCGGCGTCTGAGTCAAAGCCGTTCCAAAGTCGCTCCAGAGGCGAAATTTCCGGCCAGGACAGGAAAAAGGAACGGCTGAGCCGTTCCAAATTGAAACAGGCGTTCCTAATTGATTCACACGCCGAACTTTTCGTATACTTAAGTCAATGTATTAGGTTCGGCTCATGAAAAGTTCGCGTCTGAACCGGGCCCAAGTGTCCCGTTGACATGCTTGCGTGTCCGGCCACATCTTGGAAGTGAGGCTTAGCGTGATACTGAAAGATTTTATGGCGCTGTTGACGCCGGGATTTGTGTTTTTTAATTTATTCTCCCAATTTGTTGATGTTTTATTCTCTCAAGACAGGACTCAAAATAACAGCTGGTCAACGGACAATTTCGGGCAAGAATGGCCTCTCGACTGGCCAAAAATTTCACTCGCCGGACATGTTGACCGGTCACGCACACTCTCATTCTTGAATAAACAGCCAAATCCTCACCTGGAATTCAGATTTTGACTCCTTCTAAAAATACAATCACTTTAACTTTAACTTTATCGCCTTTTGTACTGAAGCCTTTTAGTGTGAAGACAGAGTGTACGTCAGCTTAAAGATTTACAGTTTTAGAAAAAAACCTTAGAGACTAGTTATTTTAATATTAGTTAAAATTTAGACGTTATAACTAAATCGCCCATTATTTTATCTGTGTAGTTTGCGTCACCTTGTAAGTTGTAAAGGGATTCATTGCCATTTTTCGTAGAACCGTTTCTCAAGTTGTGATTTGCTATTGTATTTATTGTTTTTGCTAGTGGCAAAACCATGCTGATAGCCTCAAACGAGAACAAGAGACAAAACGGAAAATAAATCAGAAGATACAAGAAAAAGTCAACAATAATATCGGCACATGGATAGACTGGCAATATCTCATGGATGCTGCTCAGTTACTCGCTAAGGTAAGCAGGCCGTTACATGTACTTATGATATATCGACTTTTGTTGACACCTAAACTGATGATGGTAGGATCAGGACGAAAGAGTTAAGATAACAACGATTATGTTGGTTGTGTTGATGGTTTTGTTGACCATAATGATATGGAAGGTAATGAAGACGATATCAATGATGATAATGAGGCCGGTGATGCACGTGGTGATAGTATGATGGCGATGATGATGATGATGATGATGGTTGTTATTATTATTATTATTATTAGTATTATTATTATTATTATTATTATTATTATTATTATAATTATTAACTTTTTATCAGTTTGAATTATTTTTAGATAGTTTTATTTTTTATTAACTTTTTGATGCTTTTTATAATTGTTATTAGTAGTTTTTAGATAGTCATTTTACGACAATTCTCTTTCGTACACAAGAAGAATGTACATAGGGTATATATTTTAATATTCATATTCTTGAATCTGTAAATAGTCTATTTTTTTGAATCTATGAATAAAGTTATTTAATTATCATTATTATTATTATTATTATTATTATTATTATTTTGAAATTATTATTATTATTATTATTATTATTATTATTATTATTATTATTATTATTATGCTGATGATGATGATGATGATGATCAGAACGATGACGACGACGATGATCAGAATGGTGATGGTTAGAGCAGTGGTAAAGATGATGTTTAGTATCGAGTTGACCCACTTTCTTCCATTCATGTTTCAGTGTCGTTACACGATGATGTACACTTATCCCTATGCTTACTTCATGGAGGATGAGAGAAAAAGACTAGTAAGTTTACTTCCGGAGAATTCACCATACAATTTCGATGAATTACATTGTATTCACACTTGGCTCCGAGGCTTGGAAGAATAAAACAAACTTAATCAACTTGAAGCTCAGAGATGAGTTGTTTTATTCTTCTAAGACTCAGAGCCCAGGAATGAATTTTAAGTTATCAAAACTGGTTTATATATTTGCCACTCTTTTAGACCTAGTCTTACTTCTAGATAAGCTTTTTTCATTAATTACGATATTTTCCATGTACATTTAAACCACCTCTGTCATTAATGCATCCGTCCGTCTATGTGGGGACAATTCTCTCCTTTGTTCGGTCAATTTGAGTCGGTTTAAAGGTTTGACTGTATTTTTTCTTAACAGTTTGAGTATCAACAAGCACAGCTTGAGTTGGAAATAGAAAATTTGTCTTGGAAATTAGAACGAGATGAGCTTTATTGTAGAGGGGTAAGTGAGTATTGCTAGCAGATTTAAAGAGACAACATGAATCTGTGTCTTCATGATTTAGACACAGAGATTTCTTCGGTTGCTGTTCAGAAAAGATGGGGAAACTTCTGTTCTGTAGTGTTAGTGGGGAGCTCAAGCAATAACGACGCCGAGGGCTACGAAGACGTCACTTAAAAAGTTGATTCGCACTGCTTCAATCTTTATCGCGCTTCTTCCATTTCGTTCAGTTCGTCAAATGTTGGTAGCTTGCGAGCAAGCTCTCCTATTTGGGCGAGTGAAACGAGTCTCGCGAGAACGCGCGAGCGGACGGCGAAGCCGCGAGGGTCCTCAGACCCTCGCCTTCGCGTTCTCGCGAGACTTGCTTCGCTTGGCCAAAGAGGGGAGCTTGCTCGCAGGCTAAATGTTGGCAATGTTATACTCGAGTTAAATTCTAAAAGACTGTATCGAAGTTGACAAAAAGGAAAAGAAAATCGTTGTCTTGTGTTCACGTCTTCCATAAAACGTGAAATTAGGGAGCTTCACGTCGTAGTACTAGTCGTGCAGTGACGCCAAAGAAATGTACGTGCAGAGTTCAGTGTTATCTAAAGCTAGCGCTTTTTTTTGCCGTTCTCGTTGCCGTCGCCGCCGTCGTCGTCGTCGTTGCTTAAGGTCCCTATTCGGTTTCTGGGGATGGCTCAAGAAGATGTGAGCAGGAAGAATACAGTCAACTCTTTCTAATTCGGACACCTTTGGGGCAGGTACTAAGTGTCCGTCTAAGAGAGATGCCCGTCTTATAGAGAGTCAAATAAAGGCAGTAAAGAAAGGCAGGGACCAACTCGAGGTGTTTGTTTTACAGAGGTATCCGTCTTATAGAGGTGTCCGTTAAGAGAGAGTCGACTGTAGTCTCTCTTCCTCTTAATTTTTTTCCCGCTGTCTGCCTTCGCACTACACTCTACTATCCGAACACCTGAAACAGGCAACAGTGTTGTTTTATTAGATGTCAGTAGGTCAAAACTGCCATGTGTTACGCTATTTTAGCAACGATGACTGGAATGATTACCATACGTTTTGCTACAAAGTCGTTACGCTACTTATTGAAGTTGTTTTGCTACGAAATCGTTTCGCTGCATATTGAAGTCGTTTCGCTGCAAAGTCGTTAAGATACAATTTTGAAAACGCACAGAAAACTTTGTTCTTAGCAGTGTGTTTTGTTATAAACATAAAAGCTTGTTTTGGTCAAGAATTGAATTAAACTTGGTGGCTCTTAGAGATGACCACTAAATATGGTGCGCTCTTGGTTTTGGACAAAAAAATCTCATGAAAGCAACCCAATATGTGTCCGAATAATATCCTGATAAAAGTTCATTATCTTGGTTTTAATATTTTTCATTGGTATTATTATATTTCAGGACTTTGAAAATCAAATGGATATAGCAGAGAAGAGAAGACAGACGTTACTGAAAGACTTTCTTGTGGTTTAGTTACAACAGCTACGTTTGTTATGTCTTGTGTGACCGTCACGTTCTCTGAGAGACACGATTCAAGTCGTTCAAGTCACGCCAGATCTTAAGGAGATAATTTAGAAAAAAATTCCGGCATTAGAATTATTTCAAGAAACGTTTTCTCGTCTCTGTTTGTGTTACAAAGACTTGAAATGTTTAGCTCTTANTCTCGTTGTCGTCGTCGTTGCTTAAGGTCCCTATTCGGTTTCTGGGGATGGCTCAAGAAGATGTGAGCAGGAAGAATATAGTCAACTCTTTCTAAGTCGGACACCTTTGGGGCAGGTACTAAGTGTCCGTCTAAGAGAGATACCCGTCTTATAGAGAGTCAAATAAAGGGAGTAAAGAAAGGCAAGGACTAACTCTAGGTGTCCGTTTTACAGAGGTGTCCGTCTTATAGAGGTATCGTTAAGAGAGAGTTAGCCTGCGTAGCAACCGTTTCCTTTTTTTTGCTTGCGCTCTAACTTTCGCGCACTAACTCGATTGGAAACGCTTTCTACGCAGGCTAAGAGAGAGTCGACTATAGTCTCTCTTCCTCGTAATTTTTTTCCCGCTGTCTGCCTTCGCGCTACACTCTACTATCCGAACACCTGAAACAGGCAATAGTGTTGTTATATTGGATGTCAGTAGGTCAAAACAGCCATGTGTTACGCTATTTTAGCAACGGTGACTGGAATGATTACCTTACGTTTTGCTACCAAGTCGTTTCGCTACTTATTGAAGTTGTTTTGCTACGAAATCGTTTCGCTGCATATTGAAGTCGTTTCGCTGCAAAGTCGTTAAGGTACAATTTTGAAAACGCACAGAAAACTTTGTTCTTAGCAGTGTGTTTTGTTATAAACATAAAAGCTTGTTTTGGTCAAGAATTGAATTAGACTTGGTGGCCCTTGGAGATGACCACTAAATATGGTGCGCTGTTGCGTTTCGAAAAAAAAAATCTCGTAAAAGCAGCCCAATATGTGTTCGAAAAATGTCCTGATAAAAGTTCATCATCTTGGTTTTAATATTTTTCATTGGTATTATTATATTTCAGGACTTTGAAAATCAAATGGATATAGCAGAGAAGAGAAGACAGACGTTACTGAAAGACTTTCTTGTGGTTTAGTTACAACGGCTACGTTTGTTATGTCTTGTGTGACCGTCACGTTCTCTGAGAGACACGATTCAAGTCGTTCAAGTCACGCCAGATCTTAAGGAGATAATTTAGAAAAAAATTCCGGCATTAGAATTATTTCAAGAAACGTTTTCTCGTCTCTGTTTGTGTTACAAAGACTTGAAATGTTTAGCTCTTAAAATTTAAGGACTTACCTTTTTTAAAAAATGCCTTCTATTTGGTACATTGCTTTTTCAATAAAAGGCAATTAAACGTTGCGCAACTTTAACTTATGTTTAATACATCATCAACGTGTCTCCCCCTCTTTTGATTCTAATCTCCTCTCCCCTTCTCTCCCTATTAAAGGCTTGTTTAGAACATCAAGACCGTCCTGACCGCTGGTCTCAGTTCGTTTTTGCTGGAAATCAGTGTTAAATGGATTTAAATCACCGTTTGGATGTAAACCTTTTGCCCGGGGGTACTCCCTATAATATCCTATATGGGGAAGTTCCGCCCGAAAGAGGTAACATCGGGGTTCCGACATCATGTCAAAGCGTAGGGAATTCACGAGTTGAAGTGTATGAAAGGTGTAAAAAGAAATCTTTCATTTTACGTATTTACAGCTCGTTTTAATAAACTCTCTCGAAAAGACGCGCCCTAAGGCTATTTTATTTTGATTAACTAAACGTTACCCAAAAATGACAAGAGGACCTTCCTGTTTTAACCTTATTGAGTAGGTAAGTTAATGGGGTACTCTTTTTCGGCTCCTGATGTAAGGTATACGAAAGGGGTACCTTTTGTCAAAAAATGGTATAATTATAAAAGGGTAAGGGGTGGACCGCGGGGCGAAGCCTCTTCCCTGAGTAGGACCTTCCTCCCCGTGACCTTTAGTCTGCTACACAGCCGTTTTTAGTGTCGTCACGCAATGCTCCTCCCCACAAGTGGGGAGGAGCGTTGCGTGACGACACTAAAAACGGCTGTGTAGCAGACTACGTGACCTTATGCCATTAAAAAATAACAACTTCCTTTTCCACAAAAGCGGAAGTTTGAGGTGTGGGGAATGTGATGACTGTAACTTACCTGGGAAATTCCCAGGACCCGAAAGTGAAATTCACGAGAAACCGAAGTAGTAATTGTGACGCAAATGAGAGCCAGATTATATTCCCATTCTAAGAGAAATCTTGATGGCCCCTCACAAGTTTCCCTTATTTATGTGCCAAAGATTGATTAGATTCGACGTAATTTTCTTCTGTCACGTGTGTCATGGCACTACGTGCCTCAATGAAGTACTTTTTAATAGAAGAAAGAAAAAAAACAAAGATAACGATCTCATATCAGTTATATGCATGAAGAGGTTGGAACGTGCCCCCCAAAAGACAATCTCTTTTGTTTGTTGCGTACAAGTCAAGACGCACCCTTCCCTACTTGGTAGAAACCTAAACACCGAAGTGCCTGCTGGGTAATATACTCAAAGATGGCGGTGAAATAGATTTTGTGAGCTGTAATCTCCTTACTTTGTTGCTCTGCAGTGGAATCATAATGTGATCGGTTTATGTTAGAGTAAAGGTAAGTCATGTAGTAATCATTTTTGTTGTAAAGTAAATATTTTTTTGAGCACACAAAGGGTTTGCGTCGATTTTGAAATGATACGGCTGAAGGTAAGCTTACTGAAGCTGAGTAAAATTTGATCATGTTCGGACGCGCGAACGAAATTCATCAGAGCTCTCTTTCGGGCAAATAGATTTTATTTTACCAGGATATAAACTAATGAATTATTTGGTAGACCATGGTAGGTTCAGAAATTTGTTCAGGCTCGTTTTAAAAGTATATACTCATGACCTCCAAACGAGTAGACCACTTCCGTTCGGTGGATTCCATGCGCGAGCAAATATTTTCGCGGGCTTCTTGACACGAAAACACACAGTCTAAATTTAATCTAGGAATCTGATTAAGTTGCCAAAATTCCAAGAAGCTAATGAGGAAAAATTTTAACTCCCAATTGTTTAATACGCTTTGTTGCTTCGTTAAGAATGAGTTGTTTCTCGTGGAAGAAAGATTATTTGCATTTTAAGGAAATGAACATGAATAGTATTTGTACGTGTAGCTTACGCCTTGTTTGTGCTAAGGAAGTTAAATATGAACGTCGAGCGAGAGAGGAATAAACAGAAAACGAAACCCACTCAGCACGGCTGTTATATAAATAGTATGTGGCCTATCAAGATAATCTTTTTGCTGGGTGTCAGAGAAATTTTATTTGTGCTGGAGCTTATGTTTTTTCTCAGCACAATCCTCGCTGAGGAAGTAATGCTGACGTGAGCTTATAATTTAAACGATCTCTCTGAAGTTACCGTTTTTCGTTTTTTTGCTAGACTGCATGGCATTCAAAAGCTCTATGAATGATAACTACTTGGAGACCATTCCCCTTTTAGAACGCTGTATTTATTTTTATTTAAGCAGCTGTTCTTTATGGATTTGATCAGTCAGATACATTGGCGACGCGATGAGGGTCACGCACGAATATGCATAATTTGATTATTTCTAGAAATTAAGCTATTTAAAAGCGGCAAGTCTTACATTTGTACAGATTTAATATCAAGTTTTTTATTTTGTTCATATGTAATATAGTTTTTTTGTAGATCTTTGTAGATCTTGATAATTTTTTCTTGATGATCCACGACTTGCATAATAATATTATGCATTTTCTGCTCACCAGTTCCTCATGCATGTATTTAAGCTTAACAGTCTTCCAAAACAGAACTTGAAACAGACGATCTCTTGGAAATTATGGTTTACAGATTCAAATAAAAATTTTGCCAACTTATCATTTTTCTATGAAATATTCAGAGATCCAAAATGTCTTAATTTTTCCAGAAGAGTGGACACAACTACTGGAAATATTGCTTTTGGGAGGTGTTAATTGAATCTGGATTATTGCTTTTGACATTTAGATACATATCAAACAATGACTCAACTGGCTTTTTAAAAACCCAAGGGTAGTCTTAAATACACTCTAAAAAGAATGAAAAGGCAAATTTACTACATTTTTATAATATTACAAATTGTGCAGCATTGAAAGTGCTTAAAGGTTTTTCTGTTTTTGTTTTTTGAGACAATTTGGCATTGAATTACATTATGTCAAGTCAATATCATCTTAATTTGCATCTGACATTATGACTTGCTTGGGGTAAATGAGCAGCTACAGGACTAAAAAATGTGAGCAAAGCAAGCTGAGGATCAATGTGATAGACCTCAAGCACATAATTAAATTAAATGTCAGAGCTCTTGCTCTATAATTACAGCCCGCAGATCAGAAATATTTTTCAAAGTTGCCATTATAAAATTTTTAGAATATTGGAATTATCAAAATTTTAATGTAAAATAATATTTATATTTCAACTGCTAATCTTAAATCATCGGAAAGAAATGAAAAACATAACAAAGATTTTGATAACATATTTCATGATGCTTTCAGCATAATTGTTTTATCCTGAGGGTTTTCTCCTTTTGTAGGTTTCATGCATAACATTTGTCTTGATTAAGGCTTCCCTTCTTATCAGACACAATGGATGCAGCTACAAGTGAAAACAAGTTAAAAAAGATTGCACAACTGAGAGCACAGCAATTTAAGATCAGAGAGGAATGTATCACCAGAGCAAGAAGCCCAGCTGGGCAGCCTGTGGCTTATCAGAAAGTGAAAGAAAAATCTAATATCAACAGGCGTTCTCGTGTGATGTCAGATCCAGACATACCGGGCTCTCTTGTGATATTAAATGCCAAAGGATTATTTCAAGGCAAGAATGGTAATGTATCAGTGAGTAATCAGGAAAGACATTGTAAGTCTGTTAGCAAGATGGATAAAGGCACTACAAACAGGCCTGTGTTTTGTGAT